ACTAGAATTGTCATTACGAAAGTAATGACATAAAAAAATAATTTACACATTCTCGTCTAAAGGTAACACTTTTAGTATTTATGCCCAGTTGAGTAAACAGATTGCCGTTATTTATAGATACATGCATCATTTATTCTTTTATAAATTTTTGCTATGAGTGTGAATGTTTGGCAAGAACAAATCCAAACGACACTCCAAACATCCACACCTTTACATCGAGTAAAGGAGATGTTATGTAAAAAGAAAATTGTTTTAGAAATACATGTTGTAAAAAAGAGAAAATCTCTTTATGTACTGTTTTCTTCTTTATTCGTATGTTGAATTAAAAACATAGATTGTATTTTTGCGAAATCAACAAACTACTTACAAAAGATAAAAAATAGAATTTTTCAGGTCACTGTTCTCCCCCGTCCCCTGAATGGTAAATGAAATTGCCAAAGTACTCTGTATACAGGAAAGCGCACCTGATCGATGTTATATGCTATTGGCCTATCGAAGAGGCCAATATTCTATTTCAATAGTTGTTTCGTAAGTAATTATTCATGAACTATTATGGGAAGTAAAGCGTTAAAAATGAAGTTTTAGTCATCAGTGTAGCTTCATACAGTCTATCTAAATAATAAAAAAAACGAAAATCAGAAACAAAATGATGATTTCTATAATTATGGTTCGAACTATTGAGGGAAGAAGGTCTACATGTTGATTATAGTGTATTGACAATATTTGTTATTATTGTTACATTTATTTTTATTTCTTATATGTTGGTGTTTGTCTACTGATGAGTCATGATTTACATATATGTATAATTCTATTCTATACATATATTTATGTGTTCTTTTCCTTTATGTTGTGATTACTCTAATTTCGTATATAACAATATTTCTATATTTCTATTCTATTCTTCATTCCATTTGTATGAGTCAACACAACATATAGATCTCTATATATATGCTTGTCTTTTCTTAAAAAAGAGAATAACTTTGTTCGTTTCGTTTCATCTAACTTGTTAGTTGTTTCTGTTCTTTAAGTCAATAAAACAAGTTATTGACCTTGACCTTTATTGTATTACGCAATTGATAATACAACACATTTTCTGGCTTTTACGTATAACTTGAATACGTGACATTGATCAAGAATGCACAAAACACGAATAAAGAAGATGATACATATACTTAGATTCGACCTTTTTGTTTATTATTGCTTGTAGCGTGGATGGTATTATTACATGAAAACTTTTGACCCAAACTTTGGACTTTTCAGTGTTTATAAAAAATTATTATTTTCAAAACAGAGTTAATTCCACGTACAACACCAAAAATCCGCTAGTATTTCTCGGTTTTCATTATCAAAAATGGTTTTTTTTAGAAATAAGCATGGATGTCGGAATCAACATACAAAAATCCATCGGAACCTCTACGTTTCATCGCAAAAAGTCTATGATTAAAATTTTCGCTCTACTTCTCTGCAACTTTTTATTTGTAAAGTTTTGGACTAAACCCTTCTGCGAGTAAAATTTGACTGGAAATCTTTTCCAACGAAAGGTAGAGTTTCAGTGTCTTTTTGCATGCCGGTTCCAAAAATCATGCTTGTTTTCAATAAAAACCAATTTTTGACAATCATAATTTAGAAGTACTAATCATTTTGTGGGATATTTTAAGTGCAAATGACCCAGTTGTAAAAATAATGATTTCTCTTTACTAACACTGAAAATATACAATGTCTAGTTGTGATATATCATAGCGCCACAGCATTCGCAATCAAAAAATAGTTCAACAAAAGAAAACTAGCGAAATGGGAATATAATCCACGGAAAAAGCATCACTTCCTTTAAATAAGAAAGCGATTCTTTCTCTTCTATTTAATGACACTTCCTTTTTCATATAATGACGGAAAGCTGAATAATTTTTATAAATAGAAACAGGTTGATCGAAATGAATATGAAAGTATTAATTGCTTATGGAAAATGTATCGCGTAACAGTTTATTATGCTATTGAGAAATGACATCAAGTATAAATAGGTGTGCTAGTATGGAAATAAGAATTCAAATTATATTAAAGGTTCTAAACGAAATGCCATAATGAATAGTTGATTTATATTTGAACTGATTTTTAATAAAGAATTCGAATAAATGTAATAGAAAAAGAAAACTGAAAGAGCACTTCAACGATCTCAAAAGGATCAAAGTTAGAGTATCGTTCAAAAAACAATTCATCGATAGACATTTAAGGGATATTATGACTGATAGATGTTTGAATATTTATGATAGAAAACGAATGAGTAGCTGATAAGTAATAATTTTTATTGTAGTTGAGTTCAGTTAATATTCTATGCTTTTATGAATTATCAATCTGTAATTTCAAAGTATGCTGGTGTACTCAGTCAAGCGTCAATTATGCATTTAAATTTCCTGTCTTTTTTTAGTGCACTAGAAAAAACTTTTATCATTGTTTTTCTAATAGTAGCAATAAATAACATTCGAGAAAAGAAGGTAATTATTCAAATGACTTATCACTAAAAGGAATAGATAAATCATAAAGATTGAAAACGAGCCATCATCAGCATAATAGCTATTGATATTTTCCTTTTTTTTTTCAGTAACATTCATTATACGCTGATTCTTTTTTGCCAGCTTAAAAATCTTGGTTAAAGACAGTCCTTGAAATGCGCCTACATTTTTATGAGTCTTCATCAACACTGATGGTATTGACTAAAGCTCATTTCTCATGACTGTATTGCACAGCATATTGTACATGAATGAGTGATTACTCAAAGTATACATCTGAAATTTGTTATCAAAAAAATATAACATCAAAAAAGAAAAATGCAAGACTAACCTTATGTATATCAAATGAGTATAAATATAAAAGAGATTTTTTTTTCTTGAATGCATTATACGTAAGAGACATTTATAATGACTTATCTATTAATTAGATATTCAATCACTTTGAAATTACTATTTATATTGACAATGATCTTTGTTTACTATGTGTAAGGACTTGTATGTAAATATTGACTTATTAATATATAACTATAAATGATTTGAATATTGGATATAATTTACGTACAAACAATATTTTTCGTTGTATCGGAATGCCTAGTTCAGCATCTATTGCGATGTTTGGCGAAATTCTACACATTATGCGTAGAGTATGAAATAGTAAAATTATTTTAATATATGTACAATTCCAAAATTTTATATTCATAGGAATGATCTACAAACGATTTTAATCTTGAAATTATTCGACAAGAAAAAAAATATGCGAGATTAGTTACGAGTAATATTTGATTCTTGTAAAGAAAAACTCAAAAGTAAAGAATCAATTCAATCTATTTTTTGAAACAAAAAAACTTTCTACTCTCCTTTCTTTTGTTTTTACAGTCGATGAAGATACAGTTCTTGTTATTCTTCTGATCGATCTAGATCTTCTTAGAAACGTATTTATTAAAGATTCACATATATTTATCAATCGACTAGTATGAATCAGAGCTGGGCAAGTACAAACTTTTTCGAGTACAAGTACAGCAGGTCTTTTGAAACATGGTTTGGCATTACTAAAAGATGAAGCATGAAACTTTACAACGTCCAATGAAGTTTTTCTCATAATGTTTAATAGAAAAACTGTATTCTGTTTTATATAATGTACTTTTGTGGAAGACTCGCTAAACTCTAACTGGACATAAAATAAATGAAATTTCACTAACTTCGATTGTTGAATAAAAAAGCTTATTTTTTGATATCATTTATTACTTGTAAACATTTTTCGCTGGCAAAGACTGTTAGAAAAATGTTTATTTCGAACCTAACTGATAATTATAAAATATTATTGATACTTGTTTACAATATCGTTTCGTAGCGCTACAAAATCTGATATAAGTTGGAAAAATAAGCCCGACTTTCTGAGTGGATGGAGGTTGTATTCTGTATCCAGAAGTGCGCAGAGAACTTTTCTAGTCAACTATGTTCTTAAAACTTCTCAGCCTTCAATAAATATTTTTGAACCATATACTTTTACACAGCTTTCTATTAGAATCTTTGTTCTTTCTAATAAGGAAACTATTGAGTTCTCACGGTGCATTGTTGTTATTTTATACTAGAAGCAAAATTAATGGAGAACTTTTGTATTATAAGTTACATGTCTTTAAAAAAAACGAATTTTCTCTCTGATAGACAACATTTATAGTAACAACGTGACAAAAATGACTCCATGATTAAATGACTAGCTGCTGTTATTTTAAACTAAATGTCAAATACTCTTCAATATTAATCTTTTGAACAGATAAATTTGATCATTTACATATGAGTCTAAATTACAAACAAATATTAATTATATGATGTCATTAGACTGATGCATTAATCCTAGAAAATAGATCATTATCATTCATTGCATTTATCATGTTTTTAGAAAACAAGTTCAAAGAAAACATTCATTTTGTGATATAATGATCATAAATTTTTTATGCTGTCGTTGAAATAAATATCCCAAAATTGATTATTAACAACTTACCTTACTAAGAAATATAAATACAACATTGTACCGATTAGAAATATTAAGGAGAACATGCTCAGAAAATAATTATGAAATACTTTTATATAATACTACACGAAATCAAAACAATGACAATCCGAAAAACAAAATATATCTTTCATTGTTCAAGAGCGACATCTTATTAATGGCCTTCTATAATCTATTTATATATTGGTTAGATTATAATTTTCATTTGAGAAAATGTGTATCAGGTACAAAGAAGAAGAGAAGACGATGGTCTTTGACATTCATTCTTAGATTATAACAGAGAGAACAATGATAAATCTAATAATAAAATAAAATAAAATGAGATTTTCAAGGTCATTTTAAAAAACAATAAACTTCGAAAAATATTTTTAAAAATAAATGAACTTATTACTAAGTTAAAACTTCCGAATAAAAATTCAAAAGAGTATTCTATTCAATAAGAAATAATTTACATAATGCAATTTAAATATTTAAATATTGTTTAGATGTCGACAGATGTTGTAATCTGCAGTGAACCATGTTGTTCAAGTACTGATACATTTTTATGTGTAAAACATTGTCAACGTTATGTGTGTTTTGATCATTTACAAGAACACCACCGTGTATATGAGCAAGAAAAGAATGATTTACCAAATGAACTTCGTCGAAAAATTCAACGACGTTTTTCTCTTTATAATAGACTTATTGATGAAATAAAATTAAGTGAACAAGAAAAACGTGATATTGAAATAGCTTGTACAGAAATACGACGTACATATGAACAAAGACGACATGATTATCATCAATTAAAAATAGACGCAACATCTGTGCTTGAATCACAATCAACAACAAACGATCTGAAAACATATTTAGAAAAATTAGATGTTGCTATTGAACGTGAACAACAACGAGAACGTGTTTATTCAAATTCAGACGCCCCCGTTAACATTAAAATTGAACCGAATGAATTTATGGATAGTAGAGATTTTGATCATCCTGAGTAAGTTTTTAAATTAAATCGATATTTTATTTTATATATATATATTTTGGGTTTTTCTCTTTCTAGAAGTAATCATGCAGATTATATTGCATCAAATTCTTGTTAGGAATTTATTAAGTTTTCTTTTGTTGTTTTTTTTTAATATTGTTGTATGTTTAGTATCGAACAGTACAAGTTTATCAATGGAAAATAAAGATAATAAATCTGAAGAGTAAATATTTATAGAAATTTGGAATTTATTTTACTGATTTATTTTTCTTTCTTTTTACATTTAGTTCATTGGCGGAAGAAGGAGAACCTAGTGATACTAATTTTAGTGATATCGGTGAACCTGATTCAGTAAGAATGAAATGTTTTCTTTTTTCTAGGAAGGAATTAGTGTTATTCGTCGAATTAAAATAAATTTTCAATAGGATAGAGATATGTTTTTAACATATCGTGAATTGTTTCTAATCTATAGATTGTTTAAGAAATAGTTGATGTATTTGTACGAACTCAACAGATTATAAATTTATTTTTCATAGCCAGTGAAGAATGTTTCTATAGTAATTATGCTTTCTTTTTTTTTTAATTTAAGGATTATGAAGATAATCGTCGACATAAGGCATCAAACAATCATTCATCATCATCTTCATCAAATATAAATCAATCTGTAACGATATATCGTGGTCCATGTCCTTTAATACGTTCTGGTGTTTTTGGCATTCTTCCAATTCACAATGTTCGTTTATGCGAAGGAAAATCGAGTTGTCTTTATAATCATTTACAAAGTTTTCATCATATGACAGCCCGTAGTGCATATAAAGTTTGTAAAGCTGTTTTACGACAACGTGATCCAGTTGTAACCGTACTTTTTGGTTCAAAAGATGTTTTATATAATAAAAATTTTCATATGGCATGTCCATTTAATCAAGATTCAAAAAATCCCTTTGATTGTCAACCAAAATATATAATAAAAGCTCCATGTTCATCAATAATATCGCGTCTTGATATGCCAAGACATTTACGTGATGTTCATCATGTTTATCGATCATGTGCATTGAAAATAGTTGCTGAAATGCGGCGTTCTACAAAAACTTTTGATAAAAATAATCCTGTTCAATTAAATCGAAATCTTTTTGATAAACAAGAAAATATTATTGAATTAACTGATGAAAAAAATCATTCACAAGTAAATTTAAACCAATATTATTTTGTTTTTTGTTTAATATTCAAAAAAAAAAAAAATTCTTCATTATTTTAGATTGGTAAAAAAATTAAACGACAAAAATAATCGAGTATAATCCATGGAAAAACATGAAAATTATGCTCAATACTCAGATATAAAATTATGTCCTTTTTTTATTCGATCTCAAATTCCTCTATTTTCATTTTCATACGAAACTGGTCTTTATCTTTAATGTTTGTAATTTTGTTTTGTTGTCTTATTTGTATTTTTTCAAATAATGTGATATTTTCATTGCTTGGTTTACCGATTCAGTGATGATGTAAGTTTTTTTTCCATTCAATTTCAGATGAAACAAGTATCATCATTTACTGATCTTTCAAATGATTTATTCTTTGAAATATTTGATTATCTTGATGTATTAGATTTATTTCAAGCATTTTTTAATTTAAATCAACGTTTTAATTTATTAATTATTGATCGACATAATTGTTTTCAAGCAAATATGATTTCATTAAAATCATATGAATTTTCTATTTATAAAAATTTTATTTTACCACAAATTGCTTGTTATATTCGCTATTTATCAATATCGGATGAATTAAATTATTTACAAATAATTCTTCGTTCGATTTCATTAACAAATTTACTATCGATTAGATTATATCATGTTAAATTAAATGAATTAAGAATAATACTTAATCATTGTCAATTAAAAAGTATTTCTATTGATACGAATCATATTCAAAATGAAAAACATTTGAATGAAATATTTAAAATTTTGTTTAATCAACAATTAGATCTTCGTTCAATGCAATGTCATTTTCATACGAATTTATATTTTGTTGAAGAAAAAAATAAATTAAGTAAACTTCGACGAGTTATTATTGATTGTGATTGTTTTTCAAGTGATTTTATTGTTTTGATATCTCAATTACGAGAGTTACGTCACTTAAGTGCACGTATTAATGATTATAATCGAGAATATATGGATAAAGATATTGATCATCTAACTGGAAATGAATCTCTTCGTTCACTTATTCTTCATATTGAAAATATTGAACTTGAGCGTTTATTATTAATATTTTCTTTAATGATAAATCTTCGTATAGTTGATCTGAATGGTACAATTGATTTTGATATTAGTCATTTACTTGAACTCGAACGAAATTATACATCATTTCGATGTAATCTGAAACATTATCTCACATTTTAATCTATTTTGTATTTTAGATATGAATTATAAATTTCTATCTCTTAGTGTTCTTTATGTAATTGGTCTTAGTTTTTTTCTCAATGGATTTTTATTAACACGTCGTGTTATTTTACAAAATTCCATTGGTACTATTCCATCATCAATACCAATTGAATTCAATCAAGTTATTTTAATTGTTATTGATGCACTTCGTTATGATTTTATTAAACCAAATAATGCTTCAATAAATAATAATTATTTAAATCAAATGTCATTTGTACAAGAATTACTTGAGACAAAACCTAGACAATCAGTTCTATTCCGATTTATTGCTGATCCACCAACAACAACACTTCAACGTTTAAAAGCATTAACAACTGGCACATTACCAACATTTATTGATATGTCATATAATTTCATAGGTTATGAAATTGAAGAAGATAATATTTTAAATCAATTGATAAAAACTCCTTATCAAAGAAATATTTCATTATTAGGTGATGATACATGGTTAGCACTTTATCCAAATATAAAATTTAAAGATTTATATGTTTATCCATCATTTGATGTTCATGATTTAGATACAGTTGACAATGGAATTCTTAAACATTTATGGACAGTCATTGAAAACACTACTCGTCATGAACAATTATCATTTATTATTGCTCATTTTTTAGGTAAATTCCATCTTATTCAAGCACATAAATTATGCGAAGAGTTTTAATTCAATTAACAGCATAGAAATCCAAAGGGTAACCCAAAAATTTCAATCTCTATCTGTAAACTGACTTTATTTATACAAAATATATATGTATATAGTTGACTGCAATATACAGTTTTCTAGAGTGAGATAAAAGCTATCATTTAAAAAGAAAATAGTTCGAATGCCATAGACATTATTAAAAATTATGGTTGCTTTATTGATTATGATAAAACACTTTTGTATCTTACATTTTTTTTCAAAATAAAATAATACTTGTAACGTCTGAAGCAAAAATATTGTTTTCGAGAGATTTTTATATAGCTCGATAGGGCTCGACAAGCTCTATAAGAATATGAATATCAGAGAAGTTTTGAGCTTATATGCAATACGAAACTTGGAGGAAACCAACAAAACTAATAAAAATCTCATGTATCTGACATTAAAGAGAATCAGCTGAACTTTCAATAATTTTAGTTAATCCACTATTCTGTCTGTTCATGTAGTTTGGACAATTTATTTTCATCTTGAGTATATCACATTACATCTTGAAATATCAATAATTAGTCGATCAACTAATTTTATTTAAAGTTAAGCATATTCTCTCATGCAATGTATGTGAGATTATTATTAGTCTGTCTGATTTTCTGCATGTTTTGTATCGGGAAACAAGATCAGAAGTTTTTTGTTGATATTCATATTTTTGTAGAGCTTGTTGAGCTCTATCGAATCATGTGAAAATATCTAGGCATCAATATTTTACTCAATTTTAATTACTCAGACATTAAGAGAATATTTTTATTTTCACTAAAAATGTAAGATGTAAAATGCTTTGACATACTTAATAAAGAAATTATAATTTTTCATGATCTCGATGGAAGTCAAACTATTTTCTTTTCCGATAATTGCTTTAATTTCTCTCTACAAAATTATGTATTTCAATAAACTATTTTATAGATCTTTCATTTAAATGAAGTCAATTTACAAAGAGGTCAAAACTTTTGTATCATTCTTTAGCTTCTATTTTATTATAGTATGACAATTTAAAAGCTTACAGTATCTTCTATGAAACTTTATTTGAAAAATTATGTATTAATTATTTCGACTAATAATAGAGCCCATTGAAAATATACTCTATTATCTAAATTTTCATTTCTAAGCAACTTTTAAATAGACTATCAACTCATATATTCAGATTCAAACAATGAAATTCTTTTTAATAGAAGAAAAAAATTGATATCTTTAAACTTTTATTATATTTTTATGAATCAAAATTTTTTCGAAAAAAAATTATCATTACTATTTCAATTTGTTGTTTAATAAATTGATTAGGTGTTGATCATTGTGGTCATCGATATGGTCCATTACATATTGAAATGAAACGTAAACTAAATCAAATGGATGATGTTATACGAAATATAAGTTTATCATTTAATAAATCAAATTCTTCATCTCTCTTAATGGTTATTGGTGATCATGGTATGACACAACAAGGTGATCATGGTGGTGATGAATTAAATGAAATTGAAACAGCTATGTTTATTTATACAAATAAACCAAATTATTTTTCATTATCACAACAAAATGAAAAATCTGTTTCACAAATAGATCTTGTTCCAACACTTTCATGGTTTCTTCATACATTAATACCTTTTTCAAGTTTAGGTATGATGATTATTGATATAATACCAGTAGAACAACGTTATGTTGCAATGAAATTAAATTTTGAACAAATTGAAATTTATTTAAAACAAATTTCATTGACACTTCCATTATCAGATAAATTACAAGAATTACGTGCTAATTTACGTACTATATTTATATCATTTGATAGAGAAAGAAATTTAACAATGATTGAAAATTTATTTAATGAATTTAAATTTGAATTACAAACACATTTTCGTCTTCAATGGTCAACATTTAATGTATTTCGTATAATAGTTGGTTTAGTTTTGATGTTATTATCATGTTTAATATTTATATTAATTTATTTAAAATTATTCACAATTTTAATTAACTATGGAAATATGATCTTTAATATTAGTCTTGTATTAATGTATTTTGCAATATCATTTTCAAATAGTTTTATTATAAATGAAGCAATGTGTCTTTATTTTCTTCTTCAAACAATTATATTAATTAGTAAAAGAAAAATTTTACAAAAAGTTCTTCTTTCTTTTTTATTATTTTTAACTCGAGCATTTTTAATTTGTCGTGAAGAACAACAACCATATTGTATTGATCCAATATGGCTTATAAAAAAATTATCAGATACTTCTGATTATTTTCTTTCTTTTATGGCTGCTATTGTTTGGTTAATTATTCTTATTTTAACATGTAATTATTTGGATTTCTTACCCTATATATCATATATATCTGTAGTTGGCTATTGGTTTAATATTTCATATACATTATCAATATTTTATTTGAGTATTATTATTCAGATTTGTTTTGTTTTATTAAATCCAAATCGTTTTGATAAATTAATTTATTCTATTCTGATATTTGTTGTTGGTTATCGTTTTTCATTTGTGATATTTCTTCAATATTTTTTTTATCATATTGTTCTGAACGATAATAATCAATCGTTTTCGTTACTTTTATCTATATTAGCTGATTACTTTTTTTATGCAACCGGCCATCAACCAGTTCTTTCACAAATACGTTGGACAGCAGCATTTCCAACACAAAATTCTTCATTAAATGTTTATCTTTCATTAATTATTAATTCATTAATTGTACGTGGAATATTTGTTCTTATTGAAACATTTTCTGGTCAGATATTGAATGTTATTTTTATTCGAAAAATGTATCAAAAGAAATATCAAAAAGCATTATTCAAAAAAGTTTTTATTATTGATTGTTTTAAATTAATGATAATATCATTAAGTGTATTTATATTAAGACGACATTTAATGCTGTGGAAAATTTTTTGTCCAAGATTTTTATTTCAACTTGTAGGATTTATTATTAAATGGTTGTTTGTAATTTTGACAATTAAACTTTAATAATAAACACTTTTTTTGTTTTACTGTATTTCTATTTTTTTCTTTGATTTGTTCTTTTAGATAATTCGAATTTTATTTAAATCCATTATGATTCGATTTATTCTTATTCAAAATCGAGCTGGAAAAACTCGTTTGGCTAAATGGTACGCATTCACAAACTCTTGTGCGATAGCACTTAGACAAAATCTTAAAATATTTTCAGACCATTTTAAATGCTTGTCAGATTAGCCCTTTTGGAACTAAAATGTGAAACTCATGTATCTGTTAGTACCATCATATTAAAACAAAAGAGGTAAAGGGAAAAATCTCTTACAGACTATAGTTGCTTTCCAAGAATAATCGGTCTCAACAGAGAAACAATCTATTGTATATATGTATTATTCCTAGAGCAGTTCTGAAAGTGCTATTATATATCTCAATAAGCTTGGAAATATTGATATTGATTATTGTTCAAAACTATAATTTGATCGATTCATGCATTTTATGTAGATCATGTGAAAACTGTAGCAAATCAATAGCACATTATTCATCATTCTTGAAATATCATATAATATTTTATCTGTGCAGAAACCGGAAACTACGATACTTAGAACACTCGTAAAAGTATCCCAGCATCTCAATATTAAGGAAGGATTGGAAATGTTTTATATTAGTCAGAATCTTGTTGTTAATCCTGTTCAGAGCTTTTTTCGTCGCTAAGAAATTCTGAAAAAGGATTTTGATGCCTGCTGTCCTCAGTGGCTAAAGGAGAATTCATGTTCAATGACCTTTGACTCTAGTTGCTAGGATTTATAGAGAGGAAGAGAGTCTCAAGATCTCGACTTCAAATTGAAACTCACTATTTTTTTTCTTTGAAAACATATGTCAGTTCCATGGTAAGTTAATGAAAATTAAAGTTGTCTTGTGTGACGATTGAGATTAATTCAGAATGATGGAATTGTTGAAAAAAACGAAAATATTTTCTATTAATCTTTGTTTCTTCATCTTATCAAACAAACAAATCATATTTATCGCTTTTGAAAATCTTTTTGTTTCAATAAAAGATGTCTTCTTTGACAAGGAGTTGTTAGTAAAACGAGAATAAATTTCAAGTTTCTTTAGTTCTAATGCATACTAGTATGTTTTTTTTTATTGAAGAAGACATATTGATGGCATAGATATATGGTCTTGAAACTATTATAATAGAGATTAATATAATATAAAATTGAATATATATATTTTTGATAGGTTCATGAACTTTCATGATGATGAAAAACAAAAATTAATTGAAGAAGTTCATGCTTTGGTTACTGTACGTGATGCTAAACATACAAAGTAAGTTAAACGTATTTTTTTCTCTTTTACTAAATTCTTCTTTTTTTCTTTTTATTTGTTTAGTTTTGTTGAGGTATGATTATTTATTTATGTACATAATGATTAATATTGAAATTGATTTGTTAATTTTAGTTTCGTAATTTTAAAATAGTTTATCGTCGTTATGCTGGTCTATACTTTTGTATTTGTGTAGATGTTAATGATAATAACTTAGCTTATCTTGAAGCAATACATAATTTTGTTGAGGTTCTCAATGAGTAAGTTAAATTGAAAATGATAATATAAATTATTTGACGTATTTTTTATGAAAAGATTCTTTCATAATGTATGCGAACTTGATTTGGTCTTCAATTTTTACAAAGTAAAAATTTTTTTCTCTTATTAATTTTGATAACTATCAAAATTGCTATATTTGATTGAAGGTGTATTCAGTGGTTGACGAAATGTTTCTAGCGGGTGAAATACGTGAAACAAGTCAAATTAAAGTGTTAAAACAACTTACTACATTAACATCACTTGAATAATGAATTTTAATGAACATACAATTAATATTTATTCCATTCTATAAAAATTTATCATACAATCTAGTAGTCGTCATTCCGATCAAACCCACCTATAGATATTCACATTAATTGTTTTTTTCTTTCTCAACAATATTTTGATCTTAATGTGCAATCGATGATGTTGTCTTGTCTTTAAAAATAAAATCAACAAAAAAAAAAGAAATAAAATATTTTGTTTTCCATTTTTCCAGAGTAAAGATCTATTTATTGACGATTCAAATGAGAATTCGATGTTCATAAAAATGTTAAATTTGATGTTCATCAATCAAACTACGATAAACATGACATGGTGCAATAATGGTATTGTGTAAATTTCAACTTTTTAGATAAATATGAATTTGTTATAATATAAAATGTAAGAATGAGATTGGGTCTTGGTTTGATCAATTTAGAAAATAATTGGATTTGTCGTGTTGTTGTGGAAAAGAAAAGTTTGAATTGCTCAATTAACGAATCTTATGAAAAGTCGATAAGAGAAAAATGAAATCATAAATAAGGCAATAAGACCAATCAATCGAAACTTTAACAAGAAACAGTGCATTATTCGAAGGTTTGATTTTTTCTAGTTTTTTTTTCCTGTTTTGACATTCTTTTCGTATGAGATTATGGTGTGAGAGTTTTGTTTATTTATTAGCAAAAATACGATTACTCTGATTATATATATTTTTTTTTTCTTCTAGAGAACATTGTAGGTTCATGTCATTCTATTGTTTGTTAATGTCATTATTTATACTGTATTAACGTATTATTAAATTCTAGACGAATTGTTATGACTGAAAAAAACATGCGGCGATTCCAAACAGCACTTTTATTAATTACAAATCCAATTCGTTCACGTATTCCATTTATTCTTTCTTCTGTTATACCTTATGTTGAAAGAAATCTTTATGTTATTGTTCAAAATCCAAATTTTCAATTATTATCATCATCTGAAACATTATTTGATCGTGAACAACAAAAAGCACGTATACGTCCAATGTTATATGCTATTTATAAGCAATTAAAATCAACAAAAAATCCTTCAGTTGATGTTCTTCTTCATAATGTTGATTCAGTGATAAAATCTACAAATCCTATTCGATTACCTCGTCTGTGTGAAGCAGTTTTTGCTGATTGTTCACCATCGCCAGGATTATATAACTATTGCCGAGATCATTTTCATGAATTAGATCAGAATTTTGAACTTCGAATCATTGATGAAAAAGAAACGACAGAAAATCAATCAATTGATAAATTTCCTACATTTGATAATGATCTATTTAATACAAAATCTACCAGTCAATATAATCGAGGAGTTTTGGGTGGTAAGTTAAAATATGTCGTAAAAAGAAAGCTTGTTGGTTTTTTGCTTTTAGGTACATTTGATCGATTGCATAATGGCCATAAATTATTGTTAGCTGAAAGTGCTTTACTGTGTGATGAAAAAGTTGTTATTGGTATCACTGATGGTATCATGATACAAAACAAAGTAATTTCTGTTAAAACTTATCCTGAGTCATGTTTTCTTAAACAGAAATTTTGATAAATTTAAAGATACAAAGCATTTTAATAGGTCACAGCCTCACATTGTATTGCGTTTATTTAGATATTAGCTGAAGTGATTGAACCAGTGAATGATCGTATGTCAAACGTTCGTTCATTTGTTGATTTAATTCGACCTAGCCTTTATGTACACTGTGAACCAATTGAAGATCCATGTGGTCCATCAGCAACAATGGCTGATTTAAATGTAAAGTTTTTTTTAAAGAATAATCGTACTTTTCTTAAGGATAAAAATACGATCATTTAGTGTATTATTGTTACTGATGAAACACAGCAAGGTGCTGTACAAGTTAATAAAGAAAGACAAGAAAATGGTTTATCTCAATTAGCCGTTCATGTCATACCCATGGTTCCAGCTGATAATGATAATCAAGATGGAGATAACAAATTAAGTTCAACTTCACTTCGACGAGAAATGCTTAGTATCCTTCTTAAACCACCTTTGGTAACTTTGTTTTTGCTATTTCTATAATTTCATCTTCTAATTATTTACTAATGATTATAGAAATCAGCCGAAGCAAATCGACCCTATGTAATTGGTCTTACTGGTGGTATAGGATCAGGAAAATCAAGTATTGGTCGACGACTTGAAAAACTTGGTGCTGCTATCATTAATTGTGATAAACTAGGCAAGTGTTTTATTTTTCTAATCATTAAAAATTTCTTCACTAGAAAAATCTTTTTACCCAATATATACAGGTCATGAAACATATAAGGTGGATACTGATGTTTATAAAAAAATAATCACAACATTTGGTGAAGACATTGTCAATCCTACTGATCGATCCATTGATAGAAAAATACTTGGTAATAAAGTCTTTCAATCATCTGACGAACTCAAAAAACTAACGGATATTGTGTGGCCTGCTATTTTAAATTTAACAAAAGAACGAATTGAATATTTATTTAAAATAGGTACGTAGTGAGGAAAATTTTTATTTTCTGATATATTCTTCAACAAATTCTACTAGGTAAACATGTAATTGTACTTGATGCAGCTGTATTACTTGAAGCACAATGGACTGTAGCAGTAAATGAAATATGGATTGCATCTATTCCTCCAAAAGAAGTATTGATTTTCGCTTATTTTAGGTTTATATATTTATCTACTAATGGATTTATTTTTTTTCTCAGGCTATTCGACGTGTTGTTGAACGAGATCACTTATCACCTGACGAAGCAAAACGTCGTTTAAGTACTCAAATGTCAAATCAACAGCGATTTCCATATGCTAACGTTCTTTTTTGTACTTATTGGGCAGAAAGTGTCACTCAAAAACAAGTTGAACATGCTTGGCATCTACTTTTAGAACGTATTAAGTCCTAGATTTTAATTTTAATTAATTCAGCTCTTTGTATTCATAAAGATTTTTCTTATGTCTTCTTCTTTTGATCACTTTAGATTTTTTTTTAATTTTAATTATTTATTTCAAAAAGGAAAATTGATTATCAATGCTTTAAAAAAAAATCATTAGCATGTTTCTTTTTTATATTTAACTTCTTCTGATTCAAATATGAATAATCAATAGTGATGATATTTGAACTTGTTATCAATGTATCGAATGCTCCCATTATGGACACGAATGAGTCGTAATCAATTAAGACATGAAATATCTCAAGTTTGCTTAATAGCATATCGATCATTTGCTGGTATTCTCTTCCAATTTAGCATCTGATAGTGATCAATCATCTCGAGATATTCGTACAACTTGAAGCCATCGAAAAAAAATATTAATCAATAATAATCTTGTTATTTGAATTATTGATATTGATTCTTTTGAAGAAAATTCATCTAAAGATCTTTCTTCAAAAAAGGCTGAATTTGTTCTTGACAAAAAAGTGTCATTACTTTCGTTTAACATGCAAATATATGATAAATCAAGAGTTAAACAAACAAACAAGTAGGTATTCGATTGATTGAAATAGCAAAAGTAATCTTTATCAAAAAGTCTGCCGTAATGCTGTGTGTTTATAAATTTGTGAAATTGTTGATTGTCGAGACAGTTTTTTATCAATGAAGGAAAGAAACGATTGAGTAATGTTTTTTTTTGAAGTCCAGTTGTTTTTTTTCCACAAACAAAATGATTTATTGATGTAAATAAACTTTATCTAGAGTATTAACGCGTGCTGATAATGATAAACGAACACTAACCATACGAACTGTTATAATCGATCATTCCCATGTTAGTGATAAAAAGGGAACAACAGCGCTTCCAAGGTAAATACAATCACAACTTGCATGTACTTCGTATAAATTTGTTGGTTATACATAAAAGACTATTTTATTGTAATTATGGACAGGACAACATATGGACAATGTGAAAGTTAGTCTAGGAACAATGGAACGTTTTTAAATGGGGCAAAGTTCATTGAGAGTTTGTCGGTTTTCGTAAACTAACTTTTTACTTATTATTTTGGCATAGAACTGAGCAAAGTTTAGATAGTAAGCTGTTTCAGACTATTTAATTGTACTGTTGTCATGAAGAACAATGTACTATGTTGCTGTGTTCTTTACCGAAGAAGTGTCTGATCCTTCCAAAGTTACAACAATTTCAGAGAGTAGAAGAGTCATTTATTTCACATAGGCTATCTCATCCGGGGAATTGGTAGAGTTTTTTTACGATCGAATTGAACCGGTCAGTTCAATTACAGAATTCAATCGGCTAAAACTCGATCCGTTTGATACATCCATTAATGAAATAGTTCTTTTGCAAAAAAAAGATTATAGTTCCACGAAAGCATACAATGTGAAATTTATATAACTCTTAGATTTCTAATAGAACCAACTTTCATTTTACTCTAGTATGTTCAATATCCAGTAAAATAAGAATGAAAGAAGAACTCTTTCATAACTTTTTATCTAGTAAATCACATCAATCGATAATGAACATCTAGACTTTGTTTTGTGTTTCTTTCTTTAATGACAATGTGATATCTGTTTAGAAATTGATAAGTTTGATGTTTTCTTGTTTGAAATCATTATTTAGCAGAACTAAAAGGTTTCTCAATTCGTAGAAAACTAATATTACCGATAAGAAAACAAAATGAGCTACAAAATTCGATTTATATTCCAAAAAATAATATTTATAGATATCTTAATACCTAGATACTCTTATAGTCACATAAGGCTATGAGTTTTCTGTCTCTGGCCACCTATCTGTGAATATAAAACTGATAGCACTACAAATTCTATATGAGTTTTGTGTGCTAAATAAATTTCTATCCGGCATAGACATTATTAATTAATCGTAAACTCAATCTACGTAGTTTTCACGTTATATTTGCTTTGTTATGTCTTATGCCTGTGCGAAATATATGCAATAAATAGTAGGAACTACAAGTAAGTCTACGATAAATTATAATCCTAAATAATTATTTCTTTTTATTTCAATAACATAACTAGATATCATAGTGAGTGGATTAAATCTATTAAACATACTATGATGAATTTTTTACTTAATAGAATAGTCTGATGCATGTTTCTTCACAAAAATAGTGGTCGACATCAATAAAGTGTTTGATTTGTGAAAAAAGCACTTGTATAACCAATTTTTTTAGAAAACAAATATACAAAAACTAAAAAAAACTCGGAGCCGGTCATTTACCGTTACCAGTTACAACTCTAATATGGGAGGATAGATATGTAGAATCAAATGAGGAGAAATGGTAAAATCGATCCATGGCAACCAATTCTCAGAGAAAAGAATTTTTGAAACTCAATCTGACAAAGTTGCGAACTATTCATAATATTAGAATGACGATTATTCTTTCGGATCTATTTCCCCTTGATCATATAATAAATATATTCCATGGCACAAAAATTTGTCTCTATTGTCTCATTCTCAAGAAAATATATTGTCAAAATATTTAACATCAACGTTGAGTGCAAAGATAAAACTGATTTCTTCAAATAAAACTGCCAGCTATCTCTAACATATAGCAAGTGTAGCTCAATTATACCCATCTGTCCTCATATCCTCTTTATCCCACGCACGATACTTTTTTTTTCATGTTGTTTTACTGTTTTTTATTGACACAATCTTTGGTGAGACAGCAGCACAGCTGTTGATGATTCTTATATATATAGTTTTTGTTTTGCTATTAAACCCTTTATGTGACAAGAGTTATCGAAATGTGGTCAATAATCTTTGTACTAATAGGTGGTATTTCAGCTCTTACCAACGCACAGTCCCCTTCGGATGATGCACGACATAAACTTGTAGCACTCATTGCTGATGTTCGTCAAGCTGATGGACGTCGATATAGTTCACGTGATCACCTTGGAAATACAATGGATTGCGTTAAAATTATTAAACGAACGGATAGTGAAGAATTTATTGGTGTCTACCATACATATATCAATGGTGTACCAAGAGTTAATTTAGCTTTATCGAATGATCTTCTAAATTGGACATGGCTTCGAGAGTTAGCTTATTTCGGTTCACAGCCAACAATTGCTGTACCTAGTGATCAACCTCAAGGTTATATTGTTGCATGGGAACAAGAACCTAATAATCATTTACGATTTGCTTTTTATCCAACGTGGTCGGATTTACAAGCTGGTACTTCTAAAAAAAACTATTCTGTTCCACGTACATTATCTCGCTGTGCTGAAGGTACTCCTAATATATACGGTCAACCAACACTGAACAATATAGACGTTGGTTTTCATTTTTATGATAACTGTGTTGTTGATCGACAAGCTCGAGGTACTTTGAAAAATTTTAATCTATGGGTTCAATTTCGTAAACAACCTAACGTTGATAATGCACTACTTCACTATGGTGTACAAGGAAATATTGGCGATCGAGATGCATTTTCGAATTTTAATGATTTTGCATTCACTGTTATCGAAGGACAATATAAACCACACGATTTTGGCACTTGGCGCACATTTGTATTTGATCCCCAGACAGGCAATGCCGATCAAGTATCAATTATAACAGATGGAGGAAGTCAAGCATTTGCTAATCCAACAATGACACTCACTACATGGAAAGGTCAAAACATTTTAATTGTGACTCTTTTCATACCTAGTGAAGAATCAGCACCCGGTGAAGCAGGCGAACTTATTTACTATCATAAATTATAGACTATTTATTTTCAATTCTATGAAAAACATCTAAACGATTATACGCTTTTAATAGTATCCAGATCAATTACGTTACTTCCTTTTTCGATTTTTCTCTGTTTACTGTATTTTATAAAAATCTTAGATTTTTATCATTTCGATATGATTAAGCAGAGTATTGATTAATCTATCGAAATATATGGTTTTTATTTCATTTATTTTGTATCTTGACTAAAGATTCGATAAATTCCTAGAACCAATGAATAAAAGATTTTTCTCCTTGCAATTTTTTTATCAATTATCTTTTAATGTCATATTTCACGGTAAACAGCCTTCAACGAATCGCATTACTCGACCAGAACATATATCTTGATTATCTGTGTTAATAACTAAAACTCAAGGGTCAATTTTTGGTTGCTAATTAATTTTTATTTAAAGAAACTTTAATAAATCATTGAATATAAATAATTTCAATAATCATGTCCTCGTATATTCTTCTAAAAGTACAAATATACTTATAGGTAGTGAGCACTTACTTTGTCTGGCCTAAGTGCACATTTCGTGATTCTACTATCTTCTAGCTAGAGATTCACGATAGGATTAGTACAACTGCATATTGGTTGACTATTTTCAGTTCAAAATCATTAATTAAAGAAAAATTAATGGCATGGATAGATAAAGAAAAATGTTCTTCATTCAACTACAGGAAAATGATCTTTTGTTCTTACCAAAGGCATGCAACATGTTTCATTTGATAGTGATTCGTCCATTGTCCTGTCTATACTTCATTTACCATCCAAAAAGGTAATTAGGACTTTTCGTCACGATCTATTCTTTGAACAAAATACATCGAAGGTACCAATAGTAGCATGAATAAATCTTTGCGGACAAAATGTTGCAAGGTTTTATTGCACGATATGTTTGCGCATCACCATTTTATTTTGTAAGAAGTAATGATACATAATAAGAAAATACTGTAGTTTCATAAGAAAAATTGAGTTCTGAATTGAAAAAGGATTAATATATTTATAAGACTGACAACTGTTGTCCATTATTATCCCAGACCAAGGATATCACCCTCTGGTTCTAGTAAATTTTCGACAGGCGTCATATATTATACAATAAAATCTTGCAACATTCTATTCGCAACGATTTGTCCATGCGATGAGTTTCCAAGAACAAATACTGCGCGACAATTTGTCTGTAGTGAAATGTCCTACCACTTGGTTATCAATCGTTAGGAATAATATCTTGAAAGATATGAATTTCTATGAATAAATTTGAGTTAACTGAAACCTTTGATAATGTTTAATTACTTAGTTCCACATTTATGACAGATAAACAAAAGAATGGGAAACGGTGAAATAAAAAGTAGATATGACATTAGATAGGATAAATTGTGGAGAAATCTGTACTAGAAATGGGTATCTGTCTATAATAGCATATTTTACTAATATGAGCTAAAAAAAATAGTCTTTGAGCGACTCATGACCATATTTATTACGTCGAAGTAACTGTTGTCAAAAGCAGTATATTGATTGCTAGAAAGCAGTTAAATTACTTTTTACTTTTAATTATACTAATAGCCACTTATAAGGGTTTACTTATTAGTACTATTGTGACTTTATGCAATGAAGAAAAAAATACTTAATAGCGACAGTTTCTGCATCGACAATTTCACATTCGACGTAAATACATTTTTATTGCCATTGTTTTTGTACCTAGTAACCAATTAGCATCAACTGAAGCTGGTAAACTTATGTATTATTGTGAGCTATAAATTACTTCTTTTGAATGCTATAATAAATATCTAAACAATTATTTTAATAATAATAATTATATTCATAATATTTCTCAACTGTCATTATTACTAACCGATAAATCATGATAGATATACAATTACTCAGGAAACATTTGTCAATTTTTCTTTAGTAATAAAAAATGCTAAGTTGAATCCGATTGTTTTTCTTATCGATATTTTATTAATTCAGTTGTTTTTTTAAAATCAAGACATAGTCTAATTGAATAGACAATACATGCTACCGAATTATTTAACTTTCCGCAAATGTATAAATATATTACATGACTTTTGAGGCCTTTTCTTATTGATAAATGTGGACATGTTATGGAGCGGGAGAATTATCTCTTGATTACAACAAGCATATAGCTCTTACAAAACGTGTTTTCCACTATGATATGTTTACGTAATTCTAATTTTATTCTGCTGTTTCTAAATCAACTAGTTTTCCTGCATATTAATGTCATGAAAGAGAAGTACAAACGTTTGTGATCGATCATAATCAAAGTGATAGAGTCTTGCTCGCTCATCATATCTATATATCATTTCAATATAGATCATCCATATATCCGGAACATTGTTTGCTTATCAATATATCATGTTTCAATGGAGTCAAAATATTGCTTTTATGAATAATAGCTACCATTGTAATCAAGTAAAATACAAGTATGAACAAAAACTAATTCAATCATTCTATATAATGAAATAACGAATTGGATTGTTGAATAGATATATCATCAGAGTTTTTCTTTATCTCATTATTTCAAATATGCCATGTATTAATTGTTTATCAGTACTTTGAAAAAAAAACTTTACAAACATACATATATTCCAGTACACATCTGACCTAGGTAATAATTATTATTAAAAGAAAAAAAGAAAACAAAAAGAATTATTAATTTAAATAATTTGCAAACGATGTGCTCGATGTTCAGATATCATAATGCGACCATCTTTAAGTAATAATATATCATATGGTCCATGAAAACCAATTTTCGAGTGTACAAGTTCTGTTGTAGTAAAATCACTATTAAATATTGTTACACGATTATTGCCTTCATCACAAACAAATAATCTTTCGGTTGCTTCATCATATACGAGACCTAATGGACGAAAAAATTCTGATAAAAGTTTGCCACGTTGACCAATAGTCAATAAATGATCACCATCACAATTAAACACTTGTATTCGATCATTACCCCAATCAGATACTGCTAAACGATCGCCACTAAGTATACATACACAAGCTGGACATTTAAATTGTCCATTATCAGTACCGAGACCACCCCAGGCAAGAAGAAATTGTCCTTGTTCACTATATTTTAATATTCGATGACCACCAGCATCACATACAAATATATAATTTTGTTCATTTGTACATAAATCACATGGTGCTGAATATTGACCAACATCTCGACCGTGTTGACCAATAACACGGATTAATTTAAAATCTCGATTAAATACTTTTATTCGACGTTCCGATTGATCAATTAAATAAAGTCGATTTTCGGAGTCAATATGAACAGCATATGGATGATGAAAACGTATTTCACCTGTTTCACTTATAGCTGTATAAACTTGTTGAAAAATACCATCAATACTGTATGTTACAAGACGATTATTATAAGTATCACATACATCTATAATAGAAAAAATACTAAAAGAAAACTAAAAGATTTTTTTGTTTTGATTCTTACAAATAAGTTGATCTCGTTTCGAATAGGCTAATGATGATGGATGCATAAATTCAGTATCACGTGTTCCTCGTTTACCAATAATACGTGGTGTTCGTTTATGATTTTGTGATTGTAGTTGTTGACGACAACATCCATTATTATCAGATGTTGATACATTCGAACGATAAGATGGTGATGAACCATTTAGATAATCACTTTGTTGTTGTAATGTGGCACTTAAACAACGTATAAGTTGTTTTGAACAATGTTGTAAGTCGGCATCAGTTGATGATGTTGTTGATGATGGATCAGTTTTTAATGATGATAGAAATATTGGTGAAAGTTGAACAGAGCTTTCAATTGGTTCAAGTACCATTCCAATTTCAACAAAACCCAATGAAATTGCATCTGATGATATATCTCGATTAAAAAAAGAAATCTATAACAGAAAATATAAATCATCAAAAAATTAATCTTATATTTTGGCTTACTCGACGAATAGGTGTTTTAACAATAAGTATTTGACTTTGAAGATTATTGATACTGAGCACATACTCTTCACATTTTTGTCGAATTTCAATTGCTTCTTGATCTGTTTCTTCTTTACTGGAACAAAGAAATAACACTTTTCAATTCTTTTTTCTTATTTTAACATCTGTATTTTGAAAATATTTATCATATGATTCTCTTCACTCCCGCAGAGTAGGAAGAAATAGTAGACATGTCATAAAAAGAAACATAGTATCTTCAAGAATATAATTCATTGATAAAGTTCAAAAAAGAAAACTTAAGAAGAGTGTTGTACTTTGAACTAATCTATATCAATCTATATTTTATGCCTACCTGTGTAATATTTCTTGAGATTCTAAACAGAATTTATTAATTATTGAGAGATCTTGAAGACGAGTATTTTTTTCATCAATTAATCTAAAAGATTAATAGTCAAACAATAAGTTTACATACACACAGATAAAAATATTTACCTTTGTTCAGCCCTACTAAATTCTTGTACATTATGCAGTAATTTTGTTTCTTCCTGTTTAATTTTTTCGATAAGATCAGCTACTTTATTACGAATTACATCAGCAATATCATGTGAACGACCAACATTTTCTTCGTGATTTTTTATATTTTCAACTTTAATTTGTAAAAAAAAAAAATCCATTTATTATTAAGAGAAACTTTATTTTCTTTTACCTTCTTTTGCAATTAATTTTTCTGTTTCTTGTTGAGTTTCATTCAGTTTTGAACTTATATATCGAGAAAATTCATCATAATGTTGTCGACGACATTTACAACATATGGCTTCTCGACAATGTTCACATACCTAAATAAAATAACTTAATATTTATTTCAATTTCAATAGACTTATTAAAATATTTACAGTAATTGTATCTTCTAATTTACAAAGAGCACACTTTGCTTTAAGCATAGGTTTTGGCTCAGTATGTGAAAGACTTTCAAGTAAATTCACAATTGTTCGATTTACTTCAAATGAGCCTACGCCAGCAAATGGTACTCGATAACACCCACGACATACAGGACCTAAACATTAATATGTCAAGAAAAAAAAAAACGTAAAATCAATATAATATATAACTTACATCGACCCCAACGATCTTCTGTAATTCGTTCTAGGCATAATTTACAAAAAGTATGTTGGCAAGGTAATTGCAATGGTTCATGAAAAATTTCAAGGCAAATTGGACTAAAATAAAAATCGATTAAAATAGTTTCGTACTATGTGCTTTATTTACCATGTAATTAATTGAAGAATAGATTTTGAACTACGACTTGATTCGATTGTACTTGTACTTGAACTGCTATCAATTATGTCTGACATAAGCTAAAAACAACAAATGAAATACAACTTGATATTGAATAACGATAATACCGATCGAGGAGATTCATACGATTGTTTTTGGTGTTGATTTAGAGTAGTCAAACTTTTCATTATTTGCAATTAGTTCCTTACAAATGTCGAATACGCACGGTAAGATATAAAAAAAACTGCACAATTATTCACGATATTTAATGTTAGTGTGATTAAATATATATCCTTTGCAGGTGGCTATGAGAAGAGAGACAGAGAGAGAAAAAGCGAGAGGAGAAGAACTACAAGTACAGAATAACTGTAAATATTGGGAACGATTTTCGTCATGAGTAATAATCATCGAGCATAGAAGAGCGAAAGAATAAATAGAGGACACAAAGAACAATTATGGCTCAACACCAGAGGTAGAATATTAGCGTTTAACCATGAATATAAAGCAAAAAGAAAAAAAAATGTTGAACTCACTTGTTCCAACATGATTTATTTTAACACTACACCATGATCATCAACACTATCGACACTAACAGATGGAATCGCTCTTTCTTCTTTCTATTAAGGCATTTGTTTTTATGTATATTTATATACATGTATATGTACGTGTGAATGTGCTCGTTCAATCGAGAAAGAACAAAATGGATGCTAGTGATGCCAACAACTAGATTAGATCACTGGCACCAGCATTTCTACAATGATGAATGACTTATATCAATACGGACTGTACTGATGATTATGCAACTTAAAAGAAAGACGATGAAATGAATACATTCATACATTCCTCAAGGCTTCTTGTTTTGCTTTGGGTGATCATCAGTTATACTGATAAATACGTGGCACCTGTGAGAACGAGATTGCTATTACTTTCCTTCTTTTGAGAAGCTCAACATGAACAAATTCAATAAATGATTGCCACCTTCTCAACTGTTCATCGTTCTCTTTCTCACTAATGCATCAAAAAAAAAAGAGAAAGAAGCATTATAAAGAAAATTCGGTCAAATTACATATTATTGACTCGTTGAACTTTTTCGAAGTATCAAAAGAAGAAAAAAAGAAAGAAAATAAATTCACCCACCTCTCGTTTCATTCAATTTTAAACAATAAGCCAGACTGATAATAGCCGATGTTGATATTAATTAGGTACACGTACTCTATTCGATTCAACAAAATACAAGTCACAGTTCATGCAATGTGGTCTAATCAATGACGGACGCGCGCGAGTCTATATACAATCCATGTTGAAGGAGAAAACCAGATAAAGATAGAAAAAAAAAAGTTAATCGAATAACGAAAGGATTGAGAGACTATTTGCCGAATGCATTTTTCGTTGTAATCAAAAGTTCAACATTCTTATGTGAGGTGGGTTAATTTATCTTCAAATTGTCTTTCTTTTCACTTGATTGTCAATAAAAAAAGCTGCGGTTACTAGCTATCTTGCTTCGAAGATATATGAGAGAAAGTGTTGTCAACAGTCGATGAACTAGTGTATGATAAACGTTTTTTTTTCTTTTTCTCTGTCTATTGCTCTTTCTTCACATCGTTGTATATATGTATATTGCTAGCAGATACGGACAGACAAGTAAACGTTGAATTTTTCTTCTCTTTCATCGCTGAGGACTGATAAGCTAGTCGCAAGTGTTCGTAATGCATGATCGTATGTACTAACGAATGCTTAACTTGTGAATCAAACCAACCAAGGGCATATACGACGTAAGAGTAATATTGTATACAAGGCTATAATAAAGAAACAAAATGATTTATATTGTCTCTTAAACCAATATCAGATATAATACTGATTGAGACAATCTGTATTTAATATTATGTCTTCTTTGTCTTACTTTATTAGTATATATACACAAATGGAACCTTCGCTTACTATGTAATTGTTTATTTTCTTTTTGTCTAATAAAACATTAATAATATATCATAAGTGGTGATACTTGTTTCTTTTAATATAAAATAACAGAATTCTTACAAACGCCCTAATTCAACTATGTAACATCAAATTATCAATGTCACAAGTTTTATTCTACCATTTCACAAAAAAGTAAACATCCTCAATACAGATTACAGCATACAATAATGATTTTATAGGAGACTTCATAACTGTGAAGTTTATAAACATAAAAAAAGATGCATTGTCAGTGTTTATAATAATCTAATGTATAATTAAACATTGTTTATATTGATTTTTGCCACTATAGAAGTAGAACAGTCTTATTCGCATTCTAAATGGTATCATTGTCAATTAAAATGATGAATTATCAGAAGAGATTATTCTCTTATTGCTATTTCATTTGTATATATTGAACTCGGAATACACAGTTGTAGTGATTGTTTCAAGAATATATTTCACTAACAATCATTCTTCAAACACAATAAAAACGAAATAAGAATAATCAAATAATAGTAGCGTAGATTGAATAGAGAATACTATTGAAAATAAACAGATCTGATAAAATCATTATGTATTATCAATGTTTGTTGTATTGTTGATTTCATTGTATTCTTTTATGACTAGAGAGGTATTAAAGACGTCCGTTATAATTTCTGATCAGCTATCTTTATGTTATAAATAAGTAGTCTATATAATAATGACGTATGTGTAATTGAAAAAATACATTTTTATAACATAATATTGAAATAGGCGAGAAATTTTAAGTAAAACAAATATCGAAGTTTCACCTTATTTTCGCACATTTTGAGTTTGATGATTTTTGATTCATTATTGATAGATCTATTGAAGAATTGTAGTATTTTCGAAATATTTCATTATTGAATGTTTTTAAATTATTCTTTTGAAGAAATCATTGATATTAAGTGGAAATATTCGTTTAAATCATCCAAAATGGTCAAGCGTATGGTATTATATTAGAAATTGTGCTGGAGAAGACTTTTTCTTAAATGGAAAAATGACATGAAATGTATAAAAAAGCGCCAAGAACTTAATCCATCAGTTAATTTTCCATTTGCCTATGAAATATTTGAAAGAAGAAATGAATATCCTTCAACACTGAGTTTATGAAAACAAGAAGTAATGTTTATTTTCAAGTAGGAAATCATTGTTAAAAAAATTTCGCTATTTTGACTTTTGTATGACTATAGAAGAGTTTATGTTCTACGTAGTTATAAATAATATAAAATAAACAAAAAGCATCATTATCTTTTAAATCCACATGTTCATTTGAGAACCTTCAACATAAAAGTAAGCAAAATGGTTTAATTTGTTTTATCAATAATGATACAAAAGATATTTAGTTGATTTCTACAAAAAAATCCTTGTATTATGCTAAAGTACTCTTATTCCTTCTATGACTAACATTTGCAGTTAGTAAGACAAATTTGGCAGAAAATTGCACTTTAAATAAGACAGAAATTGATCCTTTTTTGCTTGCATATAAACGACAGATTCTCTGAGTACATCAAAAGTCAACACAAAATAAAAATATTGTTTTACAAAAAAGGTGTCATGTGATGCACAAATAATAGAAAGAAAAAAGCAAAAACATGTCACTGACCTCTTTTTTCTTTCTACCAGTATTAACACAACGCCCCAAGAAATGCGAATACATACTGACTCAGAAAATAATGTCGCTTAAGATTGCATCAGTATTAGAACTATCAGGGTTCGAGAAGTACTCTTGTGTACATGGAAATTGGTCAACTATCTGTCATGCTGCTCATTTAACTGGTGATCATAGAATTATTGTCAATAATATTCCATATGTCATTCCTCATCTACTTAAACGACATCCCCGCATGCGAACACGTCTTCATATTGAAGGTTATCAACATTCACTTCAGATTTTTGACTATGATGAAGAATATCTTAAGGCAGATTTATTTTATTCCGTTGCCAATATAAATGATAAATCGTGGCAAAAAAATAGTCGAAAATGAATGTAATCGAAATCCATATTTTGACAATGGAAAGACTATTTTTCCTCTTTTCTATTTCATGCTTATTTTCAATGAAAATTCTTCACTCTCAAATGATCATCTATTTCACTTACTTCTATTTAGTAATCATTGTGTATCTGATGGACAAAGTGGCTACATTTTAATAAATGACTTTTTAACTTTAGTTACGTCATCGGATTTATGTAATCGAATGGAACTTGTGAATACACAAGTGATTCCTTGTATAACTCAATTGATACCTCGTCCATATGGTCCTTTTTTCTATTTCATGGTATGGATTAGTAAACAAATGTACCAGTATGAATTATGTTAACTTAGTCATCCGCATATTCCTGTTAAGGCAATTCGTCTCAATGGTGAGCCAACACCATTTCGTATTCAACCAATTAAAAATAACTTTCTATTTACATCAAGTTCTTCAATTGTCTATTCATGTTTACATGAAAAATGTCGTAATCAACAAATCACATTGAATGGTCCATTGTTTGGTTGTTTGTTATTGGCTTTTCATCATTGTTTTCCAAGTGAGAAAAAAAATAACAGATATTTGGCGCCATTTAATGTGGATCTTGCTGTTAATATGCGTTCACGTTTACCTCAATCATCGTTCACGTCTCAAACCGTGGGGTTTTGTGTTAGTATTTGTGAAATAAAATTGAAAAGACAACTTTCACTTCATTCTACACCGTTTTGGACACTTGCAAAAAAATGTATGACAACAACAAATAAGGCGTTAGCAAATGAAAATGAGCGTTACACTATGCATGTTTATAACAACATTTTGAGCAATTCTCACAAATTTGATCAATTTAGCCAATTCTATCCTGAAGGACTTACATCAGAATTATGTTTGTCTAATATTGGTAAATATCCATTTCCATGTAATTATAATCAAGGTCAATTACGATTACAAGGATTGCATGTTATCAATAATTGTAGTGTGTATTATTCAACAGCTATGTTTTTTGTTACATGTGCTGGAGATGATCAATTAGATTTTTCACTTAGTCATGCAATGGAAACTGAAGAAAAAGCACAAGAATTTCTCGATTATTATGTTCGTCTTATCGAAGCATGTGCTATTGCTGACATTGGAATAACTCTAGAGCAACTATTGAGAAGTGTTCAGTCTCAATAAATTTGTAGTTTCCTCTTGAGTGTAATAGCTATAAATAAGCGTAAGGATTCATCTCTTGTTAGGCTCCATACGGATTAGATGAATTAAAACTGAATTAAGAAATGTGATTAGTGTTGCTACCTAGAAATACCAATCACATTTCTTAATTCACATTAATTCATCTAGTCCGCTTGGTGTCTGACACAAAAATAGTTTGTTAAATGATAACTGAATAGAAAAACAATTCGATGCCGGATGAAGATGATTATAAATTCCTATAAGTTGGTGAAGTCAATTAGAAAATTGAATTGTCTCTTAAATTTTTCGTTGATTGCTAACGTCTTCACCATTGCCCTAAAAAAACCTGGTTAATTGAAATTGTCTGTTCTTACATTCAAGATGAAATATGTATACGATCAGGTCCTCTGATAACAGCATTTGATCGTTTGTACATAATATTTCAAAGCAGTAGTGGTCACGGTTGAGTGGTACAGGATGCTGCAGCTGATGTTATAGTATTACAAAGAGAAGTCATTATGGTACTACAGAAGAGTAGCTTTCTATTTTTATTTATCTTTTTACCATAAACATCTATTATTGTTAAATACCCAGGTTATTCAATCATGTCTGTGGATGGTGTCGGAAAAGATCAGACCGGTTCCTGGCGAATCGGATTGCCGGATATTATCAGAATCCCTTGAATCTGTCTCTTGAAAAAGAAACCAGATAATGCAGAATTTCACAACATATCTAGCAGGATTTCATCGAAATCTGGTACTCGGATTTCGGATCGGATTATGTTGGCAATATGTTAATCTGATAGTTTCAGATCTATTTATAGGATCATGCCAAATTTAGCGAAAGATGGCGTATGAAGCAAACTGGTAGATGCGAGAAGTCATCGGTTGCCGACATGGAAACCTAAAGTAGATAATGTCAGAAAAACTGGCTGGTATCTTTTCTAATCTCATGAAGGAGCTTCCCCAACTGTTATTCACTTTTATTTTGATTTTTTTAAAATTTCTGAATCTTACTGATTTATTAAATATTCTAAAATGATCTAGTTTTTCGTCTCTTCTGAGTGAAAATATGCAAGTATCACTATCTTCAATTTTCGGGCTCTTAACCATAATAATATATTGTATAGTTCCACTAAGTAAATTTTGTTCGATTCTTAATTCATGCCTTTCAATACGTGTTCAATGTTACATATTATTTGAAAGTTTAAATATAAATCGAGCGTTATTGGGAGAGATACGGATCTATTTTGGTTATAGAAATTACCAATCTATTTATATGATGTACGCTTTGTATGAACTAGGAGCATCAATTTGTTTTCATTTTCATCGAATTTTTTTCTAAATTTTACAACTTAATCATCATATAGGCACTTAAGAGTTGCTCGTATGTATATGGTACAATTATCGGTAGGATGTACTGCGTTCACTATTTCAATAGATACTACTGTTACTAACTACAAACATTCAATTCTATATTCTGTATATCTAACGTACTCTACGCTTTTAGATGAATTGCCCATAATGCATTCCCTTGTGTGATTCTTGTGAGTAGATGCTTTATTATTTCTTCAATGACAGTATGAGTATGTGAAGAGTAGTACCTAATCCACGTCATTCATCAAACAGTGGGTACATGATGAAACTGACAACCTAACCGACGGTGTCACTCTGGTGCACGAACACATACTATATTAATAGACTCAATCAGCATGCCCAAAAACACAAATATCTTCCCAAATAAAAATCGATTCATCTTAAAACTTTGAGATCATAGGTAACACTGAATACCTATTGAAAAGCATGAATTAACGCTTACACAGAACTTAGTTCCCTCGTTAACTACGTTACGCATTTTTTCGATTCACAACAAAAGCTTCAAATTGACTACATTTTTTTATCAAACCTCCACAAAAGAATATGTTTAAATATAACCTAAGCCACTATTTATTATTTTTCACTGTACTCACTTTCAGAATAGGCAAATGCAATTATTGGCAAACCATAGGTTCAATTCAATGCATAATCATTAAAATACGAATATTTAATTGACACCAGTTTTATGAATTTAAGCACGAAAATGAAATAAGATGTACATCATCAATTAACTAGCTGCTGCAGGATTTAATCAACGTCGTTAATACGCCATCACCAGGAAAATATAATTTATCATCGGATTTAGTTCTTGAAAAATTCTTCTTCTTTTACATGAATCTGCTGTTCAATCAATGCTAGCTATATATTTTAGACATAACTTGCGCAATACTCGAACAATTTCACATCATATGCAACGGTTTAGCCAAGCACCGAAAACCATTATATTTGACAGAACCAACCACAGAAATTATAAGTAAATTAAAAAATTAATTAGTTAGGACAACAATTTCTTATAACAGTCCTTATCTGATAAGATGTACTCACATCCGAACAAATATGCCTAAAATATAATAACAATCTCTGTCCACTAACCTACAGAAAGACTGAAGTATGCAAGAACAAAATAGATTTCTTGAGCTACAGTTGCCAATGGCCTTCATGAGGACAGCTGTTCGAGAAGCTTATTAGCCGCACACCAAGTTATTCGATTTTACTTGATTATCGATGAAAAATACATTACTTTTAGACTTAGAGTGTTGAATTTTTTCATTTTTTGTCTAGCAAAATCCGAAAAACAATTGAATAGTACTAATTACATATCGATTCTTTGTTGTTTAATTGAATTTCAATGAAAGATTTTGCTGTTTTTACTTGATTTTGTGAATATTTTGTTCAATTCTGTATTGCTATATGAATTACTAAGCAACGTATTCATTGATGAGAAGACAGTGTGTCAATTTTTGCTCAAGTAATAGAAGCCGTTTTTGTTGAAGAACTAAATTATAGTTGACGCTGTATACATCAACTTATTGAATCAGTATAGACAACGAATGAGAAAAAAATACGAATTTTTAGCCTTTATTTCGATTTCATTTATCTAAGACAAAGTTTTGGGTTTAAATCGCTGGCTAGTTGGGCAAATAACTTTGGTGGTTGCACGGCACCTTAACATACCTCTACCATGATTTCAGTACTAATTCCAACAAATGTGTCTTCAGTTTATATCAGAAGCGTAAATAGAGGGGAGCGTGGAGCGTTACCCCAACCCTGCTTTTAAAATTTCTCTATGGAGCATTCCTGCTTTAAAAATTTAACTGCACAGTTCACTATTTTGAACACTTTTCTATGTTAAAATCCTTTACACCCCACTACGCTGTCCTGTCTTCAGAGGTGACTTACGTCCCTGATTTATATTGATATAGAAATTTGAGATTATTAGATAATCATAAATACTCGACATAACAGTAAAAAGCATGGAACAATATCCTAGGTACATAGGAAATAACATGCGAAATTATCAAGATGTGTTTATACTTTAGAATACTTTACTAAAACAGATATTAATGCACATATTCTAATTACTTCAGATTACTTATTTATGTTATTAAATATTATTGATAAAAACAATATGACCTATTGCTGTTAACTAGCGTCATCTGAACGTCTGTTAGAAACAACCAATCGGTTTTATTTCATTCAATCTTGTTCTCTTCTCTTTCTCTCTTCTATCATTTACTTTGGCTCTAAATGACCCTATGGCCCCGAACAGACTGAAAAAAATAAAACAAATTAAGCAACGTGATTGGTCTATTTCGATTTAAATCGTCTTTTTGAGACGATTTATTCGTTAATTCAGTTTTAATTCACTTTGAATTAGTCGGTCTGTTCGGGGCCTTACGTTAGGTCATTTTCTTTAAAGTGATAATTTTGATTTCGTCTTTCTATTCTTCGTGTTTTCTTCATTACCTAGACATTCGCGTCCTATATACATATACATAGATATGCGTGTGTGTTTCACTTCTTGCCAGGGCTGGCCCGACTACCGAAACTTTGGGGGGTTGTAAATTGAATTTTTCAGCGAAGGTAGTGTCTACTCTTTACAATAAATTTTCTTCTAGAAGAAAGTGTGTTTATGAACCAATAAAGGACAAACTATTTATATGCATCTGTTCACTCGTGTTTGAAAAAAAAGCAAAGTTCAATTACAGTTTAAAAAGTATGTACAATCACAATCATAAAACAAAANTTTTCTTTTTGGCGTTACTTACTGGACACCCTATATATATATTTCTGTTTTATCATGTTTTTCATCATCTAATCTCTAAAATAAAATAAATAATATTTAATTTGAAATAAATAAAAAAAAAAAAAACATCAAAAATAAAATTTGCCAAAGTTCCATGTACAATTAAAGGATGAACAATTCAATTTCGAGCGTTATGAGTTTGGACCAGAGAGCGTCATAGGGTAGTTTTTTATGCCCTGCCCTGCCCTGCCCTGTGCCCTGCCCTGATTTGCCCTGCCCTGTCCTGAAAATGACGTATTCATTTTTGGTTTGCTCTGCCCTGCCCTGAGGGCAGGGCAGGGCGTCTAAACTAAGTAAGTCTAGTACAAGATCTAAAATCTTCATAAAAATCATGTGATTGCTTTCGAATTTCGTAGCCATACTTTATGTTATTTCGAAAGTGTCACAATGAAAGTTATTATGCCATTACAAATTTAAAGATAATATTAATGGAATTCTTATGTTTAAAAGTTGGATGAAAATGCTACTATTAGAATCAGATTATTCAATTTTCAACCGTTTTCAATAATGATACGGATGAAACATGTAATTTTGAAAGTGAAACTTGAAAAAATTCATTTTTTTCTGAACTCCTTACGACTACAAATAGTACGTGCAATATATTAGGTCGATCTTCAACATATCGTGTTGCAACATACGATAATAATTGCTTGCTCAACGTATAAACTAAAATAGCAAAGAATAAAACTCATGTGCCATTTCCATGGAATAAAAAATGATGACTTTCTATTACGAAAGTTCATGTAACCCTACCAATATTGGCCTTCTATTCATCGCCTAGATTTTTTCTCGCATTTACCTATAGAATCAAACATTTAAAA